ACTCATTGAACAAATCATCTTCCACATGGTGGCTACAGAGCATGCTTGCTGTAATTTATTGTTCTTTTGCCTAGCCACCTGGTCTCACTGAATTCCGAAAAGTGGCATGAAGAACATATGGACACCTCAATCATCCCCAAGACATTATAAAACAGACTCTGTGTGTAACATATATGTATCCCATTATATTTACACACACATACACACACATATATACCACATAATAGTCATATGTATATACACCTACACATAAGAAGGTAAATTGCAAAGTTAACTTAATCATTAAACTTTATTTGGCTTCAAGAAAAATATTCTTTCTTCATCAAAGCCCCACTGGTAAGTTTCTCCCCTGAAAATAGGCATTGTCAGCGTTTGAAAAGACATCCAACTATTCATGTAAAATTGGGCCCTCTTGTTACTTGCTGGATCATGCCACCTTTGCAGAACACATATTATCCAAAATCAGTCTCAGATTCTTACCAAAACCTGGTCTCCCTGTTATGACACACCAGGTGAACAGCCCCTGACCTTTCCAGGGGCCCTCCCAGTTCACTTTGGCCTCTGTTGAGTTAAAACATGCAACAGGACTGTACATGTTTGGGTAATTTCCTTATTAAAACATTAAAAGTTTTTGTCTCTTTGATATCCAAAGAAAAGGCAGAGCAGTAGAATGACTCGTGACCCCAGCTTATCAGATGACAAGTGTCATGCTGTCAAGGCCTCATCACTGACCATGTGAGGAAGGCCACATTTTATAAGTGTTTACAACAGTTTAAGGTTCATGCTGCCAATCTGTGTCAACACCAGGTGATGGGGACAACTAGCCCAGTGAGTGGGGTTGGGCACAAGAAGAAAAGCAATGGAGAAAAATCCTTACCTAATTAAAAGATCATGTCAATTTTAAAATGCTTTTTAAGGCAAAAGGAACAAACAAAACAGAGAACAGTTTTTCCTTGTGTATTTCCTTACACATGATATCAGAAGTTGAGCAACACGCACTTTCAATATTTAAAGTACTATAGAGGTGTCACCTGCACAACCTGAACTCCATGAGTCCCTCGAAAAGTTGGTCTCAACAATTTGCTAAATCAACAAACTAATTTATTTCAGTTATAGCATTTTAGAAGCAAAGCCTCTCACTTCATTTTAGTGAAAAGCTTCCACAAGTTGTTGGACTAGTTTTGTGGAGTCTGCATGCATATAGGAATTCACAGTGTGTGTGTGTGTGTGTGTGTACACCATGGGTTCCCTTGTTTTATCTAAATTGCAGGCAATAGCAATACAATATCCCCATATAATTGCTCTCTGTCTGGAGTCAGTAAGTCTGGGTTTAAGTTAATGTTAGGAGAAAACAAGTTCTTTTGGTCACTTCAGGAATCACCATATCCGAAGTACATTTGAATACCCTGGCTGATAAAGAGGGACCTTTGTATAACTGAAATGTTTAAGGTCCTGTAGCCATACTTTTTATCTGGTACTTCATAAGGGGATCTGAAAGCATTTGCATAGATGTTGCATACCTGAATAACTGGAAGACACCCGAGTTGTGTAAGATCAATTCTCTGATACATTCAACTTTCTCTTTCCTGGTTTCAATTTTAAAAGATCTTGCTGCCAAGATCTTATGTATAAATGGCATATCTCTAATGTCTTTAGCCTGATATACCCCTAAATTCTCTAATTTGAATTTTGAGTTCATTTTTCACTCTTACGAGGGTGAACTCAAGAGCAAATGATTTGGCATTGCAAGTTTGATTTTACTTAACATATGCAGGATAGCAAATTCATTCACATGCTACGCAGACGCTTAATGAAAAAATTGGCTTCTTTATTTGCAGAGCTCAGCTAAGTGTTCTCAGGAGCCTTTCTTCCCATGTACACCACCCCTATACAGCCCACTAGGTCCTATGGGAAAAAGGGGAAAAAAACTTACCTTGCGAAGTTTCAGAATGAGAGACATCTCCAATGGACCTCATCGTTTTGTGGTAACCAAACTTCTCTCAGATGAATGTGCAGTTCTCCCCCTGCTCCTGCCTAAGTTGGTAACTGGGTATGAGGGAGCTTCCTGTGTCTTCAGGGGAGTAAGAAGGGGTGGTGACTCTAGGTACATCTGGTGTCTGAGAAGGCCAGGCTATTGTGGCCTGTGCCTTGACAGGCAAGGTGTCCTCTCTCACTACCAAATATGCCAAACCTCTAATCTCAAAGACTCCATGTATTTTACTCTAGCTCCAGATCTTTGCTACCACACAGCTCAACCCAACACACCCGCATCTCCTTGAGGACTGTGGGAACTTGTGAACCCCAACAGGCCACACACTGTGCACAGAAGCAGTACAGCCTCAGGTGCAACTCTGTCAAGCCCAGATGGCATCTTGTGGTGCCCACATTAAGAAAGTGGTGACTTTCATGGTGGCTCCCCAGGCTGTGCCACAGGTGTGGGCAAGGCTCTTCATCTTTCTGGCCTCTTGACACCCTTAAACAAATCTGGTTGTTCCCAACACACACCCAGATCTCATCAGCCTACTCTCCACCTGCCCCCAATATTGATTCTCTTTTTTCCTTTCATCAGCAACACACCAGAATTTTGGCTGTCCACTTGGTTTCCATCAAAAACAATCACATTTCTCACCTTTCCTTGTATCTAAGGGGTCAAATGACCAAACTCTTACTAATGGAATATAAATTAAGGGGTCAAACTTGGAATATGGCCTTCTTGATCCCTTTTCTCTATAATGGCTGGCGTGCAGATGAGGACGCATAGCCAGAGCAGCAATCTTGAATCATGAGGAAGCTTGGGAATGTGGATGCTGAGGAAGTAGAAAGATGGGTGGATCTTGAGTCCTTTATAGTGAGGAGTGCTAGCCCACCCTTAACTTTCCTTCTCTAGGCAATCACACAGGGGAGAAGAAATCTCTACCTTGTTTCAATCATTGCTCAGATTTCCTATCCCTCAGCATGCAGTCTGATCCTGCCACATCTCCTGTCTTCCTCCTCTCACCGAGGTTTACCTAAGTTGAAAAGGAATTTCCTCTTCATCTTTCTGACTTCTAGAGACATTGCCTGCTTGAAGAACCCTGTTCAAGAGGTGAGAGCTCTCCTCTCAAAGACAGATAGTCTAATAGAAGGGAGACCATTAATGTAGAGAAAGGGGATCAGGGAGGAGGGAAGGGAAGGTTAAGATGAGGCATTGGGGAGTGTAATTGATCAAGATGTCACAGGCATGTATATCACCATTAAACCCATTATTCTGTATAGCTAATATGCACCAAAAAAGTCATATATGATCTCATCCTCCAGGCCTGACTCCTAATGAATTAACGAGAACTAAAGAAATTCAGTAGTTTATTTTCCAATAAATGCTAACTTACTACAGACTCAACAAAATCCTATACCTGATGTTATAAACTGAATGTTGTATCTATTTTAGTCAGATTTTTTATCCCTGGGACCGAAAGATCCAACGAGCAGAATTTTAGAGAAGGAAAAACTTATTTAGCCCTCACAATTTTAGAGATCTCATGGTGGAAGGGCATGGCAGAGGAAAGCAGCTTGGGACATGGCAACAGAAAGCAGAGAGAGCTCCCCTCACCAGGGACAAAATACAAACCCCAAAGACACACCACAGTGACGCACCTCCTTCAGCCACTCCCCACCTTCCTACAGTTATAGCCCAGTTAATTCATGTCAGTGGATTAATGCACTAATTAGGCTAAAGCTCTCATAATCCAATCATTTCACTTCGAAACTTTCATTTTTCTTACACATGAGCTTTTGGGAGACACTTCATATCTAAATCATAACAACATTCTTCTTTCTTTCTGTAATCCCAGTAGAAATATTTCACCCTTCTTGGGGCAAGAGAATGCTTTGGAAAAGTGGGTGAGTGGTGGTAGTTGTAGGGAGGTAAGCAGGAAATCATGCACCAGGGAAGGGGGAAAAGAAAGAATACGAATATATTTAAGACATATCGTCACCACCTAAATATGCATGTACATGTTGGAACATATATAGTCATATATGTACATAGGTTATCATAAACAACCATATAGTATATAATCAATTACTGCCCAACACAAATGAAATACATGAACTCTACTTTTTTTCATGTTCCAAACTCCTCCTAGCTGACAAGGAACTGGAGAAACTTCTCACTATCCCCAGAAAAATCTCTCTTCCCAAGTTATTTCAAGGCAACATCTCACTGGCCTAAAACCTGAGTGAGCATAACAAGAAAGCCCCACCTCAGGTCTCTTGCCCTGAAGACAGGGAGCACTGAGAGAGTGCAGGATGAAAGTTCCCCTACCCCACTCCTGTACCTGCTCCCTGTTGATTACCTGTGCCAACTATGCAAATTACAAAACCATGCCTGACAGCCTGCTGCCTCCAAATCACTTACAGGACATGCTTTTCCAAGGTGTGGCGGCCACCCCTGCCTTGGAATGCAGGACTCTCCCTCTCTGGGGGTTCCCCTCCTGGGATTTCAAGCCTGCCAAATCCTTGGGATATATCATGACTTCTTTAGTCATGATTATATGGTTGTTGGTTCCTCTGTAGAATGCCCAGAAGTGGGGAAAGTCTCCTTTCTTGATTCCAGGTCAATCATATCCTAGAGCAACACTGTTCACTAAATTGAACAAAATTCCTCATGAAATCACCCCCTGAGTAGTTCTCGCCCCCTTGCTGATGACACCTTATCTAGCCATTTATCCCAGCTGATCCCTATTCCCAACCCAAGGACCCAGACACAAAATCTTAGCACTTGGATACTAGCCCCTTGCACACCTACTCCCATCCCATCCTGCAGGAGGCACGTCTCTGCAGCAGCTTCAAAATGCGGTACTTCGTACCAACACAGGAACAGTATGAGCTGTCCGCTTTGACCAAGATATTGACCCACCTCATCCCTGACTCACTTCATACAGGGTCCTGGCTCATCCTTCAAATCTCAGTGCAACCACTACTTGCTCCGGGCAACCATCTCTGTCCACTGACCACTCCCTCTATCCTCTATCAGAACCACCTGTACATTCTTTTTAGCCCTACTTTTCCCTTTTAACAATTTTTACATACATGTTCTTACATTTCAGTGTGATAGATCTGTATATACCTGGGTCTGGACAGTGACAGAAAGCTATTGTTCTCTAGGACTTTACTTCATCCATTAGAGACAGGCATCATACAGAACATCAGGGGGAAATAAATATACAGCACATCTCTCCATAGCATAGGAAATATAAGAATTTTGTACTCCAAGGCAAAGTCTTCTGACATAAAATGAAATCAAGTGACATAGTAATAAGCTTTTAGAGAAGGAAAGATAAATATACCATAGTGTATTTGTCAGACTTTCGTCACTGTTACCAAAACACCTGACAAAAGCAACATAGAGGAGGAAAAGTTTATTTTGGCTCATGATATCAGAGGTTCAGCTCATGGTCAGATGACTCCAGTGCTCTGGGCCCACGGTGAGGTAGAACATCATTGTGGAAGAAAGCTGCTCCACTCATGTCAGCTAGGGAACATAGAGAAAAAGGAGCCAAGGACAAGATATATAACCTCAGGGGCAGACCCCAAGAAACTACTTCCTCCAGCCATGCCTCACCTGTTACAGTTATACCCTATAATCCAGTCAAATTATTAATTCATCAAATGTATCAGTTCACCAATTAGGTCACAGCTCTTATAATTAATCATTTCATACTTGATCATTGCTATATTCCATAACACATAGAAAACAGTTTTTTAGAGGTTTTTTTTTAACATAATGCAATTAATACCTGTAAGAATAACTAAACATTTTCCTAATTCAGTTAATTCAGAAAACTAGTATAACAATGAATTTTGGGTGGATTTTTCAATGCTATGCAGTTACTCCATGTCAATCTGATTTGCCTGCATGACGGCAGTGTCTCATCATTTTCTACAAAAGCTATGGAGCTTTTTTAGATGTGCCAGTTCTCAGCACAGTCCTTTTGGTTGGCCTCTTTCTCATATTTTCTGGGATGTAAATAGTGTTTGGCTGTTACTGGCTTAAACAGACTCCTAGGCTCCCACTGTCCACCCTGCTTCTTAACTCTGTTCACTGGGATAATGATGGTGGCTCAATATTGCCTATGGTGGAAGAATTATGGAAATCAGTCAACACCATAAATCAGGGGTTTATTTCTAAAAGAGACAGTTGATAAACACTTACTAGCTCACCAACAAAAGTAAGGAAATTCTTAACCAAATTTTAAAAATACTGTTTTTAAATGAGTTAATTTAGGTCCATCAGGCCCTGATCATATTGCTTCTATTCCACTGAACAGATTATATGTAGCTATTTCTTTAGCATGCTTATTGTTAAACCTTCTGTGCATTTCCATGGTGAAACTCTTAAGCCATGACAAGAAAAACAAAACAAAACAAAAAAGAGATAAAATATATCCTCCAATGTAGAGGTTTCTCATTTAACTTAGAATTTCTTATCCACTCTGACCTCATGAACAATAGCTGTGGAATTTCCATCCATATTTCTCCCCATGTGATAAGAACGAGTAGGAGGAAGAGAAGGAGGAGAAGGAAGAAGAAGAAGGAGAAAAAGAAGGAGAAGGAGAAAAAGCTTCTAATAGCCATTGTACTTCAAGAAGATGGTCAGCCACAGTAAAAGATGAGGCCTGGGGGTAGTTGTCCCTGAGGTCCCAGGGACACCTGGCACCTGTGGGATCCCTTACCCTGCACACTGTTCCTCTGATTGCAGGCTCTGGTTCCCATGACAACTCTTGTTTTCTCCCACTCCAATTCTTCTCTTCGCCCTTAAAAAAAAATAGTCTCAAAGCACAGACTTTTAAAAATAATCACTAAAAGAGAGTAGTTAAGGGTAAAAGTCAGAAAATGGGTTGAGAGAAATGACAAATTCAGTGAATAATCCAATAGCTACCCACAATTAAGTTTTGAAAATAGGGAAGACTCCTTATATCAATATAACTATCCAAGGCCAAATTTTTTCCTTCCTCTTGTCTTAGTCTTTGGAATAAAACAACTCTAAATTTAAAACTGTACAGAATCACATAAATTCTCCATCTGTATCCTGAATTCTGATAATATGTCCTTTAGCATCCATTTCCATCTCTGTCTTTACTTGACATGAATTAATAAATTCCTAATCAATATCTTGTTCTTTATCTGGAGAGATTTCCATGACAGAGAAGAAATCATCAGTGTCTTCATTTACTCTCACCCATACTCCTAAACAGATACAAGCATTTTATCCCATAAGAAACAGTCCTACAAAATGGGGCATGACCTTGACAGAGGAGGAAGCTGACTTTGATGACCTGGAATTAATGGAGTCAGAGTAGACATGTGACAGTTGTGTAGTGCCATACACTGTTCCAAGTACTTCACATGTATTTAGTTCTGTCAAAATTATAAAAAGTATCAACTATTATCATCCCTACTCAACAGTTGGGAAGGCCAGGGAAAAAGAAGAAGTTAAGTAACTTTCCTGGGAGCACATATTGGTAAGTGAAGGGGCTAGAATTCAAACCCAGTACTCTGACATTTATACCACTATACCAGCTTAGCAAACTTATGCATGAGGTGGTATCATCCAACTGCAGTGGCCTGAAGACCTGGTCTTCATTTAGTCACTGTCACCTTCAACTATCTCCACTGAAGTTTCTGTGGAGATTTTGGACCACCCACACCAGAAGACCTTTGGCACTTGTTAAGAAGGCAGAGTCTCAGAAACCTGCCCCTCCTTTGTCTCTTACACTCACCAATGCATACTTGACATCCAGAGCCCGAGACATATTTGTCTCAATCAGATCCTGAAGAATATGGTCTCTTCTGTCAATGTTCTTGTTCCTTGCCATACACCAACATCTCAACCCATGGGTGCCACTGCCAGAAGGAAACAGACTCAATGGCTGGCTCCAGGGTCCACCTCCACCAGGATGCAGGTGCTAGGAAGAATGGCATGATCAAAAGTAGGCAACAAGGGCCTTTGGCCTCGTAATTGATATACTGGAAAATGTCTTTTCTATGAAGAATAGCCATTGTGTGTTGCCATTTTTTAATGCAAAACAAAAGAATTTAATGTTTTATATTCTATGCAACAAGCAGGAAGAAAAAAATTGATATTGCTGGCTTGTACTTCTTAGATGCCAACAGGAAGATACCACTGCAGACACACCTTTCAGAGGGGTTCCTTGTAATTAAGGAGCATTTCATATTGATGTCCTTAATGATTTACCATTAAAATGTCTATTTTGTTGTAGGATAAGCCTAATTCGTGTTCAAAATACTTGGGGTTGCATATCCCACCTTGCCCAGATATTATCATAATAAAAGAAATTAATTTTTGTATGTTCACTTGTTCACTTGGCAAATATTTATAAAGCTAACATTTTGAGTCCAAAATCTTATACGAAAATTTAGAAAGATACCAAAGTTAAATGAGTTTGCTGCACCAAACTCAGGGTACAGAGGGGAAGATGTCACTCTCTATTTTAATTTTATTGGATTTGAGAATATTAAAATTCCACTTTTTAAAAATACTTTAAATTATCCATAAACAAAAAACAACATGGTTTGTCATAGAATTTTTATTGGTAAATGTTATTTATGCTTATCCTATAGTTCCACTGAATACCAAAGGACTAAAAAGAAAGTCTGAAATGCAGTTGTCAAGATCATCAAAACCTTCTGCCTGTAAAACAGCTATCCAATCCTTAGCAATGCATGGAGGATGGTTGAAAAATCTTTAAATATCACCATTTGCTTATAAGTATTTATCAATCCTATGCTAGAACTTAGCTTCTGAAACATTTATAACTTCCATAAAACCACGTAACTCATAATAGATAATGTGAGTGAAAATACCCAAAATGTGATATGGGCATTTCAGCAACCTGATAATATGAGTGAAATGCATGATACTTAATCCATGATTTGAACCTAAATCTATCTTGACCAGATTTACTTACACCATGCTTTTAAAATGTCACAAAGAAAGCTGCTTAGCTTTCTATTTCTTGTGAAGAGCCCACTAACCAGTACAATTTTACATTTCCCTTATGGAGCATTACCAAAAATGTTTAAGGTGAATCTGTCTTAAATAAAGTATTTCCTGATTTGAATTATATCTCAAATGACTCCCTTATACAGCAAATGCAGTTTAAATTTTTTTTGGAAGTTTCAAAAATGTGTAATATAATTTCAAAATAAGTTTATTCATTTACTAAATGAAAAAAATCAATATTCAGGATATGAATTTGTAGATTATAAAATCAAACAAATAGAGAACAGACCGAATGAGTGGAACCATGCAGTGGACTTAGCCAAGCCAAATAAAACAATCTCATACCAGACCCTATGACTGAACCAAATGCAATAATACAAAACCCAGGAGGTTAAGTGGATTCCAAGAGGAATGTTCTATTTAGAATTTCTATTTCCTCTGTGTTAAAATCTGGGAACTCTATTTGATTTCTTTGATATAGTTTAGACATAAGAAAATATCATTATAAGAAAGGCCATGTTTCAATAATCAGGCATCCAAATCAGGGAAACTATATATTCCATAGTGTGAGATCATTTTAAAATTTCATAAAATACAAATGTCTTATCAGATCTCGCTACTGTCACAGTTTTCTTTTCTCCTGCCATCCTCCTGTTTTCCTTGCTTATAAAACTTTGTTTTTCTTCAGGTATTGAGTACCTAAATCTTTTAGGGGAGGCTGGATCCCTCAGATCTGGGAGTAAATTCATTCCAGAAGTTCTACTCCTTGGCTACCAGATTTTAAAGCAAAAAAAAAAAAAAAAAAAAAAAAAATCAAGGCCCTCCAGACAAACATGTATTCTCTCTCCTTTTTCCTGTTTTAACAAAGCTTGGGAGTTGTAAGGCTTGGGATTGCAGCAGCCCTGTAACAACATACTGGGATGGTGTGAAGCATGGAGCCATGACCATCATACTCAGAATGGTAGAACAAATAAATGGAAAATTTTGGATTGTTGATGATGCCATTGAATTGCTAAAGGAACCAAACTCAGAGTTATCACTCTACCCCCTGACTTTTTCTTGTATTAGATAATACATTTTCCAATTATTAAAGCCATTTGTATTAGCATTTTCTTTGGCTTCCAAACATATTTTTATCAACTTTTTTTTTTTTTGTCAACATTCAGTTAGACAAGTTTCTTTCCAAAATGGCTTCATTTCCACTTGGTATTCCTTTCTCATGTGAGTTTTGTCTTCCTATGGAAGCCTCACCTCCCATCAGTACAGTGTTGGACACCCAGTGCCCATTTGAGCCCAAGTAATACTTTTCTTTTTATAAGTTAATTATTTAGGTACTTTGTTATTAGTGATGGAAAGCTGACTAACACAGCCCTTCTCAATATTTCTGTAAATTCCTATAGAGACTCATGTGACTTTTTAATCAGAATGTCTATTTCTCCAGCCTATAATCCTCAAACACCCACATCTGATGCATTATAAAAATCACATTTTTCACTTGATCTATACCAATACTATAATTGAAATCTAGCTCCTTTTCCGTGATTCCTATAACACCAGTCACACAGGTATTAGAATGTGTCCAATTTTGCTAAATATCTCAGTCTTACATGGAAGCAACACAAGTCAATGATGTGTGTGAGGCATCTGCTTTGTTAGCTCTTCAGCCCCATGGAACTAGGATGGTCTTCCCTCTACAGTCCCTCTCCTTGGGCTAGACCTTGGCCTCTTAAGAGTGTTTGCCTCCTCTTTGGCTGGGGACCACACATGCTTCAGCTTCCCTCACATTGTCACAGGAAATGTTGGTTCTTTGACCTATTCAGCTGCTAGCCTACCTTTAGCTACTACTCAAGACAGATTCATATAATATCTTTTTTTTTTAATTTTTTATTGTTGGTTGTTCAAAACATTACAAATTTCTTGACATATCATATTCCACACTTTGATTCAAGTGGGTTATGAACTCCCACCTTCACCCCATACACAGATTGCAGAATCACATCAGTTACACATCCATTGATTTACATATTGCCATACTAGTGTCTGTTGTGCTCCGATGCCTTTCCCATCCTCCACCATCCCCCCTCCCCACCTCTCTCTCTACCCCCTCCACTGTATAACCCTGAGGGTCTCCTTCCATTTCCAAGCAATTTCCCTTCTCTCTCCCTTTCCCTCCCACCTCTCATCCCTGTTAAATGTTAATCTTCTTCTCATGCTCTTCGTCCCTACTCTGTTCTTAGTTACTCTCCTTATATCAAAGAAGACATTTGGCATTTGTTTTTTAGGGATTGGCTAGCTTCACTTAGCATAATCTGCTCTAATGCCATCCATTTCCCTGCAAATTCTATGATTTTGTCATTTTTTAATGCAGAGTAATACTCCATTGTGTATAAATGCCACATTTTTTTTATCCATTCATCTATTGAAGGGCATCTAGGTTGGTTCCACAGTCTTGCTATTGTGAATTGTGCTGCTATGAACATCGATGTAGCAGTGTCCCTGTAGCATGCTCTTTTTAGGTCTTTAGGGAATAGACCGAGAAGGGGAATAGCTGGGTCAAATGGTGGCTCCATTCCCAGCTTTCCAAGAAATCTCCATACTGCTTTCCAAATTGGCTGCACCAATCTGCAGTCCCACCAGCAATGTACAAGTGTACCCTTTTCCCCACATCCTCGCCAGCACTTGTCGTTGTTTGACTTCATAATGGCTGCCAATCTTACTGGAGTGAGATGGTATCTTAGGGTGGTTTTGATTTGCATTTCTCTGACAGCTAGAGATGGTGAGCATTTTTTCATGTAGCCGATCCTCGTGCGATGGAAATCCTTCCTCCAGGTTCCGGAGCACCCCACTATTGCTGGAAATTCCTAACAAGATAGCCTTTAGCCGTCCTGACTTGTCATACTCCCACACAGTGAAGCAGCACACGGGGGCAATGCACTTCCCTCGCCGCCATCTTCCTCTTCCTCGCAAGGTCATAAAATATCTTTACTAAACTGTCTCACTATTGGAACAACACAGAGAGGATGGCATGAGATTTTGCATTTAAAAGACTCATATTTTTCCCTATCCCTCCAAACCATCACCAGCAATTTCTTTAATTGCAAGGAAAAAAAAAACAAAGAAATTGGATTTTCTATTGATATGAATCTTGCCAAGCACCACAATGCCAGCTGCCCCCTCCCCCAGCTCCATGGGAACTTTTCCTTAGAAGGCAGAAGTACCCACCGACAGCTCGGGTTTTAAATAAAAATTTTATTTTACCATACTACACTGGAAACAAGTAAAATAAGCTCCTTTATCTGTTTCATAAAACATAATTCCATTTTAGCTTATTTTAATCTCAATTTTCTTTTGTTTCTATAGAAACAAAGAAATCAAATCCCAGCATTTAGTGTTCACACATGTGAATTTTCAATTTATAAAATGGTCTTTCTCTATTGTTTTAATGTCTAGCAAATTCAAAAGTGCCGTTGAAGCCAAGTTATTTATCATAAAATCTATAATAAAAAATACTTCTACCCCCCCAAGAAAAGCAACAATAAAGAAAATTGAACTACATTTTATAATGCTCCTGAAACTACTAAAGCCATGAAGTCGCAAAGCATTGTAAGATGACATTTTGCTTCAGCAACTTTATATAAGTTGAGGCTTTAAGATGCCAGCTCTTTCTTTAATAATTACTTTGATGTGCTTGATTTCTTAATTCTTACAGCCTCTTAAAATAAAATAGAAATTATTCTTGTACTCACCACAATGGAAATACTCTTTAGTTAGAAGACATTTTGAGATGTGGTGATGCCAATGAGGGCAAAAATCTATCTTCTAAAATTATTGTGTATTATAAATGTATTAATAAGAGTAGCCACCAGTTATCTGTCACTTCGCACACATGATCTCACATAACCTTCAGGACAGACCTGAGTAAAAGGTAATAATATCCCCGATGTCTGGCAAGAAAGTGCAGGGTCATAAGGGTTGAGTAATTCGTTCAGGCATCAAGTGGCAGAACTAGAATCTAAAGCCAGGACTTTCAGTCTAAACATTACACTTTGACTTTCTATGTCCTAGCTACCACAGCAAGGTGAATGCTCATTTGTACTTGTTCATTTCTCCTCATTTTTGAAAAGCAGTGGTTTTTAAAGTTTGGTGCACATGCTAGAAGCAACATCACCTGAAAATTTTTCAGAAATGCACATTTTCAGTTAGGTATGGTAGTCCATGTCTGAAGTCCCAGCAGCTCAGGAGGCTGATCAAGGAGAATCACAAGTTCAAAGCCGGCCTCAGCAACTTATTGGGGCCCTAAGCAACTTAGTGAAGCCTGTCTCTAAATTAAATATATATATATTATATATATATATATATATTCCCAGCCCTTTATATATATATAAAGGGCTGGGAATGTAGTTCAGTGCTTAAGAGCCCCTGGGTTCAATCTCTGGAAACAAAAAAGAAAAATAAATAAATAAATGCACATCTTCATGCCTACCCCCAGGTGCACTGCACCAGACAAATCAGCGATGCAGTCCAAAACTTCCATTTCAACAAACCCTTAGATAATTGTCATGTATGCTAACATTTGAGAATCATCTGGAAATATCACCAAAGGTGACATAATTTGGGGGTACTAAAAATCAATACAAGAACAGAAAGATAGAAGTAACTATTACACAATTAAAATCCTGATAAATGTATAAAAATAGATCAATAAAGTGCCAAGAGGAAAAAAATGGGGGAAAGATGAACTCAGAATGAACATTCTGGAAATATATGCAGGGCTTTGAAGAATAAGTAGGACAAAGCAAAAAAATGAGGATAAAGTGGTGGGGCAGGCAAGCTGAAGGATCATCAAGGTAACCAGCTGTCTGTTGGGTTGGAGTGTAGGAAGATGAGGAGACCCAAGGGTATCAGACTGCAGCAAGCAGAGGCTAGTCTGTGAGCCATCAGGAAGGTTTAATGATGCTTCAAGAGAGGGAATAACGTCACAATAGCTGGGCTTAGAAAGAAATATTTATTAGCATTGTAGAGGACAGGGTGCTGAGGGGCAGCAGGGAGTCATGCTCAGGGACTAGAGCACCCACCCCCACCAGAATCTGAATTAAGCCTCCTGGTGAAGTTGACCTCACCCTAGATGTGAGCCTGAGAATTATCAGTGTAGACAGAATACATATAAAAAAGGCCAATGAATAATCCTACTTCTACTTCTACTGCATGAAGAAGAATAATCCTTCATCTTCTACTCCATGATCTTTGTTTAATTTTTCTTTGAAGATTTCCTTTTTTATTCCTGATTATGAAACTCACAAGTCTCAATATAGAAAATTCAGAGAATTCTAAAGATAATAAACTTAGATCACTGTTAACATTCTGATACAAATCATTTGAAAGATAAGTATGTATGCATTTATGATATATATCTCCATATCTAGGGCTGAGACCTTATTTTGACTGACTTTTTCATTTAGTAAAAAATTACGTGAAGACACAAATTCTGTTGACTACATAACATTTGAGCTCTTTGGCACCTTATTTGTTGCTCTGATGGCCATCCTTCTACATCAAGTCTTTTTTTGTGTGTGTGTTGTGTTTGGAGGACACAACATCTTTGTTTGTATGTGGTGCTGAGGATCGAACCCGGGCCACACGCATGCCAGGCGAGCGTGCTACCGCTTGAGCCACATCCCAGCCCCTCTACTTCAAGTCTTACCTATAATTTTAAATTTTAAATTATATCTATAGGTAGATTCTTGGATGAAATTAGACATCATATTTTAGAGACAATATCCTAATCTATTGTAATTTCTTATTATGATAATGGCCACCAAGAATTTTGCACTATTTCACTCCCAAAGTTTATGAATATTAATCTTCCTATAAGCACAAAAGCATCAAATATTACTTAGTGCACCTTGATGCATGCTTTTTATAATAATACATTATTGTTAGAACTGATGTGACAAAACACTGGCATTACTTTCTTAGCATAACTTGATAGTTCTATGAAGGACATTTTCAGAACATAGCTAATCCCCCACCTCACAAAAAAGTACTTTCTGATCTAGCCATTGTTGGTCTTTGAATACCAACACATGCTGTCAATAGCTACCAAATATCCCTAACTATGAGAAACTGCAGAGTGAAATGCCTCCAAGACCAAAGAAAAATCCCAAAAGAAGCAGGAGAAAACACATGAATCTGGCTTCAGGACCTACAGCATATACAGAGTGATAAATTTGAAATAGCATACATAAAGGGCTCCATTGATTATGAACAGAACATTGGGTGCAGACAAGATTTTCTTAATGCATGAAAGGTTAAGAATGATCGCTTTTGATGTTAATTGGAAGAATTTTCTGTAGGGTAGGTACACCCTTGACAAATGAGTTCTTAGTTAATTTCAGGGCACGGTAAGTGAGTGGTACACTCTTTAAGAATCCGTTTTCCCCTCATTTATCAACACTGCACCCTATAATGTTATATTTTAAATTGCCTTCACTTATGATTACTTTCTTAAAAAGTTAAATTCAGAGTGAGGTCAAGTATATAACCACTTTGTTTTTCATTGGTAATAGCTTATAAACACAGAAAATTTATTATTTCTCTTCGAGTTAGCCTGAGAAACCCTTAGTACTATGCAACTTAGCTGACAAAATCACCTCCTCCATAAAGTCTTCTCAGCCATTCCCCATTGAGTAACTCAGGATTTTCTGTTTCTACAATTCCTTTCATCCATCTCTATTATGTCACCTTTTATGTTGCAGTAGAATCAGGGTGCCACCTTGTTCACCCCAGTGGAACCGTAAGCCCCTGAAGACAAAGGTCTGGGCTTCTTATTTATTTATTTTGAATTGATACATAATAATTGGACATGCTTATTGGAAACAGCATGATAATTTGAGACATGTCCATAACATATAATGATCAAATCAAGGAAAAGTTCAGCACAGTACCCATCTCCAATACTTTCATATTCAATGAATGGATTGATGAGTAGGGACATTATGATGTAATCAAAAGGAGGGTGAGGCTGTGACATAAGATGACAATGGTGGGAAAGAAGAATGGAAGTCTCTTCCATACTACAAGACTCAGTGGCACTTTAAAAAAACAGGGAAGTAAGAACAGGTTTGTAGAGATTGTTGATTACCTACCTAGTATCACTTTTCACATTCTTGAACTCTTAATTTATTGGAGCAGCAATGCATCCAGAGTTTCCAAAGTTCATTCCTCTGCCTCCCTGGTTGATTAGGGTGCAGCACTGTCTAGTTAATTCAATGTCATAAGCAAAGATTTTGGGGTGGCAGTTTCAGGAAAGCTCCCCTTGAAGGGTGGCAGATACAGGTGGCAGATGCCCTTTGGTCCTGTGATCTCCCTCCTTTCTGTCCTAAAGTGCACATAAGCAGGACTGGAGTTTCAGCCACTCTTTTGAGAATGCAAGAATGAGCATCACTGAGAGTCTTTCAGACCTTTACATCAGCCTGTCTAGTGTGTAAGTGATGGCAGACATGGTAAGACAAAATTGATAGGGCTTACAATTAGACTTGGGAGTTTCCTGGGGGTCAAACAAGAACCTTGGGACCAAGATAATGCTGAAGTTTTGAGGTTTTAACACAAGGAAGAGTTTATTCCTATATACAAACAAAATGGCTGAAACATAGGGGAAGGGATAGGAGAGCTGACTTACAGAGACAATTGATGAGCTTCAGGCTTGATATACTGAGCTTGAAGACATCCCGGTGGAGATAAGACACACTCAGGAGAAACATTATGGTGGGCCAGACCTGTAAGCAGAGGAGATAACTGGAGTATCAAGAATGGATGGGTTTGCTTAAAGATAAAGTATCAGGCAAAGAGAAGATGACAAAGGACAGAATTCTGAGCAGCACCTTAAGACAACAGAAAAAAGATTCACCAACCTTGAGAAGAAAACAAGAAAAGTGCTACAGAAGGAAAGTAAGGGGGTTTCAAAATAGTCAATGATGCCAAACAGCAAAGGAGCAGGATCATTCACAAACTGTCATTTGATATGGCCCTCAGGAAGTCAAATGTGTCCATGAAGAACACAACCTCAGTCTCCAGGGGTGGAGAGTCCTGGAGATTCAAAACTCTATGAAAAAGTGTTGTCAAAGAGAATATTCTCTCAAGAAATTGAACTACGAAGGGAAGAAGACACAATACCACATAACTAATGCCATATAGGGGCAGCAAGCTAGTCATTCCTTCAGTACAGACTTAATTGGATGAAGAATATGATATTTAATATTTAATCAAATCTAATATCTACTAAGCTCAGTATTTAATATGTATAGGAAATATAACATAATCTGCAGTCACATTTTGGGCCAGTCACGTTTTTGGCAGTAAATGCTTGCTTTTGAGACAAGTAAATGCTTGCTTTTGAGACATCCTATCTTTAATTCAGTACTCTTAAAAACAATATACTACTATATTGGAATTAAGAGACCATGGGTTTAATGTTCTAATTCCATAACAATTTTATTATGGCCTTTGCATGTACTTACACCTTTTCACCTTTCTCTTCTAATAGGTGAAATTTGAATCCTAAATATTGCCAAAGTCAGTACAGCTTCATGCTTGGTATTAGCCTAGCAAAAGTTTTCTCCTTTCTCCTTGAGAGAAACTATGTTGAGTCCAACTCATGTATTGGATCTTATCAATTAAGCTGCCCTGGACTGATATTGGCACTGCTCCTATGTCAATTCACCCAATAAGATTCTGTAAGAGTATGCAACTTTATGAAAGAAGGGTTCAGAGAGTTCTCAGATGCTCTGTTTGTATTTTGATTAGCACCTAGAATTATTAGTATATAATCATCGTCATCATTTTATGCATTTATTAATAGCCAGAAATTTTTCCATCATTAACTTTGTGCCAAATATTTTGTACACATTATTTTGTTTACATCTCCCAACAAACTTATCCTCATTTCACATATAAGAAAATTGATGATCAATATTTTTAGTGACAGGCACAAGTCACAGAGTTAAAAAGTAGAGGAGCACAGATTTGAACCAAGATGTGCTTGATAGTTCTAGTCACTGTGATTTACTGTCATTCCTAAAATCTCAGGCATTGTAATTTTAAAAATATTCTTAAAAATACCTTGCTCTTGGGGCTGGATATAGACAATTGGTAGAGTGCATGTCTTGCATGTGCGTGGCACTGAGTTCAATCCTTAGCACCACATAAAAATAAAAGAATAAAGGTTAAAAAAATACCTTACTCTTCAGGGTGACTCAATTAAAATGGGCATGATTACTTTTCATTTTTATTATTAATGTTATCCATGGGAGACTGAGCCTCAGAAATATACCCTAGTAGTGAAATAGTAATGGACCAAGTCCACATTCAAGCCCAGATATCCCACTCTAAATTCCAATCCCCTTCTTCCTCAAAGTACTTCCCACTGGAACATAAAGTACACTTATAAAATCTAGTCTCTGCAGTGGCGATGAATAACTGTATCATAATAATGTTGACTATTTTCTTTGCTTTCAGTTATCTATTTTTAAAAATGGTCTCCAAAGGTTTCTAAAATCCAGTAATCTACACTAGAGATGGATCAAGCAGATCGTTTGGAACAAGGCACTCGGGTCAATCATTTTTAGAACCAAAAGCAGAGCAAACCATTTTGGGTTTACTATTTTGAGGTTCTGAAATGTTCAGTTGCGTTTGTTCCCTTTGGTCTGCCGCCAGGAACAGAGGCATAAGGGCTCAAATACCAAATGAAAGGGTGTTCTCACAGTGTTTCTGGCCAGGACCAGAGTGGAAATATCGGAAAGCTCACAGGCAAAGCTGTTCTTCTGAGATTTTCATACCAAACCTGCAAAAGCAAGATGCTTGCAAAAAAAAAAAAAAAAAAAGCATATTTTTTTGAGTAGTTATCTGGAGAAAATTTTTACTGCAAACTCTGCCTGACCTGACTTACACTTTACATCCATTCATTCTCATGTTGTCCACTCATCCTTCCAAAGACCATGAGTTCAGGTAGGCATATGCTGCATGGAATGAGTAGAGTAGGTGATTCTTTTACAAATACACCTCAGTTGGAAATACACTTTGACATTCCCACAAAGATGTTTTAGATTGTAAATATTCTACGTAGTCTAAGAGTACAGATCAGCAAATGATATTAGACAAAAACCCTACATAATCATATTCTGTTCCCCCAACTAGGGGACTACTAGGGCATATTTCTGAGGCTCAGTCTTCCATGGATAGCATTAATAAGAAAAATGAAAAGTAATCATTGACTTAAGGGCAATAGGGCAATTCTCCAATACTCACTTTATTTTTAATGCATCTCTATAAATTTCCACCAAGTTTATTTTTGACTATTGGATTAATTGAATTCTAAACAAAACATGCACTTCTAATTTTACCTCATCTACTGGATTCAAGACTAAGGTATGATCTCTTTCCTTTATTTTAACAACCATGGACTTGTGAGTTTCTACTGTTTAGTTATTAATTTTATTTCTGAATTTATGGTTTAATTACTTTCTAAATCATTTGTGTTCTGCCTTCATAAGTTCAGGCAGTTAAAGTAAAAACTATGGTAGTTAAATAGAATCATTTCCAATATAAGAGTCCACTTAAACTAGCAGTTCAAAAAAAGAGCAGATATGGGGCTGGGGATGTGGCTCAAGTGGTAGCACGCTCGCCTGGCATGCGTGCGGCCCGGGTTCGATCCTCAGGACCACATACAAACAAAGATGTTGTGTCCGCTGAGAACTAAAAAATAAATATTAAAAAATTCTCTCTCTCTCTCTCTCTCTCTCTCTCTCTCTCTCTCTCTCTTAAAAAAAAAGAGCAGATATGGATTAGGATGATCAGAAAGGCTTGGTCTCAATCAGACCAAAGCAATCAGTTAATTCCCTGAGAGAGGATATAAAAAGGCAGAACACTGGGTGTCATTGAAAAAAAAAGTATTCCTTAATTCATGTTCCATTGTATATGGCAATTGGAATAAAAGAATAGTCAACATCAGCAAACAGTGAATACCACAGATGTAGCCAGGTCATTATTTTATAGTACTTTCAGAAACTTTAATGTTCTAATGGTTCCCTTTAAGGACCCCATTTATAGTCTGGAAAGGAGCATAATGTGCCTAGTGCAGTTGGCCAGTGTACATCTTTTCCATAGAGCATCCCATGGGGCTATTGTTCCCTAGAATCTACTTTTGGGATCCCTGACCTAGGACAATCAGGTCCAATTGGGAGAAGAAAATAAGATAATCTCCTCTGAGCATTGCGCATATACCATGAATACATCACTGTATTTAATCTCGCCAATAATCCTGCATGATGGACAGAGAATGCTATTCCTACTTCACAAATGTGAACATTAGAATTCAATGGATTTATCAGTAGTTGTGGATCCCAAATTCTTTAAACAATAAGGACCAGTCACTAAACTCATGAACCAGAAACTCAGGAGTATGATCCAGGTATATGTATATAGAGAACTCATCAGATGACTTTGTTTTATAGTACATTTGGGAATGAGCTATTTCCCCAGGACTTTTTTTTTAAGTGAAAAAGTTGAAACTTGGAATTCTATCTTCTCATTCCAAGTCCAACGGTCTTTCTACTGTAGTATGCCACCCGTGAGTGATGCTCTACTACTGGGAGTGTCCAGGTAAGAATCGGAAATTTTCAGAAGGGGACACATTGGCTGATTGAACCACGACAGGGAAAGGATACCAAATACTATAATAGCTTCTAAGAGAACCAGGTAAACAACACAGTTCTTCAGAAATAAAAGTCAACACATTAAATTTCATAGTGACTTCTTGAAAAATCAACTAGTCTTATAAATACTACATAAGGTATTGTCAAAGATAAAGCTTTCCTTTCCATTATCAAATGGAGGCATTGTTCCATTTCCCCAAAGCATTATATGTGGATTTTGAATGTTTGGTAACTTGTACTTAAAAATCAAAGTTAAATATTTTCCCAACTATAAAATAAGGTCTTTTCTTTGATCTTTCTAAAATCCATGAGAATTTTCTCATGAGTTTTCCAGACCTGCCATCCTGCCTGCCCTTTCATTCTGATTGTGAATGTTCCACGTTCAACTTCTACTTCTGCAATAAAATTGCTTGTTAAAGAAAAAAATGTCAATACTTATTAATTCCTTCACTTATGGTATAAAGTTACTTATGGTAACAGAGAGCAACTGGAAAGACACCCAATCTAAATATGGAGCTTGTCAAGTTAAAGTTCCTCAAGCTGTAATTGATAGAGGACATTTTATTGTTTTGTTTTTTCAAGCAACTACTCTGACCTGTAGACATTTTACATTAATTTCCTTAAGTTTTTTACACTGTGTTAATAAGGAAACTCTAGCAGGTCTCAGCTTGGTAGAATGGCCCTCACTTGGCCCACTCAACAACAGATAAATGCACTCTTTAGTTATTCCTTGAACTTTAAAACAAAGCAAACAGCTCAACCTTGGGAAAATGTGGGGCTTTGCTCTAAAAGGAGCTAACAAAGTAACTTGGCAAAAAGGAGTAAAGAATTCAAAGATAAATTCACTTGTCCCATTATGTGTACAAGTCAAAGCCTATTTTGACATACGTTGTATGTATTTGGTAATACACATAATATTCACCTAGTTGAGCCTAATGGCTCTTTGAAAGCCATTAAGTGTATTAAGTCAATATAGTTTTTGGTATTCGTGCAAATTTGAAAAACACATTGTTATACTTCTAGCACGTTCTTTCATATCAGAACCTTCTGCTCTGCAAGTGGCTTGCTGTTTTGATCAGGCAGTTTACCCAGGAGGGAAGGGAGCTGAAGATTTGTGGGTCTACACTGCTTCTAGGAAAGCTCTGGTTAAGAGCTGATATTTGCTTCCAAGAGGTACATTTTAATATTGGGAAAATATTTTTTTTTAGATTATTCTCTACATCAAACAGTTGCAAGCATATCTGACAAGGAGCTAAGAATATTTGTAAGAGTTAGGAAAGCCCTCTGTAGGATCAAATATAAAAGCCTCAAATATTAAGGAAAGGAAAACTTATGCACAGTAGAGGAAACAATTTTGTCAAAATAAATAAATGGAAAAGGAGATACACATCTAGTGATTTCTAATGAATTAATTTTTTTCACTTAAATATTATCTGTCAAATCTACTTATTATCTCCATGTGTGACAGGAAGTCTACACAGCCAAAATTCCTAGCCCAAATCCCAGGCCTGTGGTATTAGGAAGCTTCTGTTACTGTGACAAAATAGCTGAGATAATCAACTTATAAGGAGAAATGGCTTATACTGCCTCTTGTTTCTGTCCATAGTTGCTCCTCCCTGTAGCTGGGGCTTGTAGAGGCACAGTACATTCTGGTATGTAGCAAAGGAGGCTGTTCACCTCAGGAAAGCCAGGAAGTAAAGCATGAGAATGGAGGGTGTCAAGGCTTCAATATCCCGATTATGGACACAGCCCCAATGACTTAACGTCTTTCCATGAAGTCCCACCTTCTAAAGATTCCACCATCACCCCCATTAGAATCATGGACTGGGGACCAAGCACTCAGTACGTCCCACTTTTCTTTGTCCCTTTGCAATTGACCTTGTTCAAACCCTTAAACACTATCTGTGTGCCACAGACCACAGCATGGGCTTCCCCACCCTCGCTGCTGTTCTCACAGGGTTCAGCAAAGACATTTCCACTCAGCCCATGGCTCCTTTTGTTCTTCTGCATAAATCTTAAGCAACTTGGCCATGATCAGGTACCCATTTTCCACTCCAATAGCATCAGTCTCATTAGACCTCCCTCCCAGCTCTGTGCACCATGGCACTAATTGCGAGTAGTCCCTTAAACACACACACACACACACACACACACCTCATCCATACACCATGTGGGTTCATCTCTCTTGCCTGTGATAGTCTTGCCCCTCTCTGACTGAAATGTCATATTACTCACTCCAGTATCCCCTTCTAGTCTGCATAGATAATATCTACTTAAAGCCTTAGAGACTGAGTTGATGTTATCACCTCCTCCCCTGGAAAGCATCCCCTGTCACTGTCCACCATACTCTCGGGAAGGATATTCCCCTATTCTGTGCTCCCCTCTACATTTCTGTGTGTGATGCTCTGCATGTAAGCTTCACCCTGGACTCCAGCTCCTTGAAGTTCGGGATCATAAATCTTTGCATTCTAAATGCCTAGCACAGAGCACACACACTGAATAGGTACTCCATGTCTATTGAATAAATGGGAAAATAAAAATTTATATCCCAAATGATTCCCTTTTCTAAAATTTTGTGATAGCATATATTTGCATTTTAACACAAGTATAAAAATTTAAAACTCCCCCCTCCCTTTTTTTTTTTTAGGACTTGAAAGCATGTGTCTTTTTTCTTAATTGAAATGTAATATCAGTGGATTCCAAGTGTGATTTTTTTTCATGAGTGTATATTAATTACACAGAATGATAGTTTTTATTGTGGTACATGTATATGTGCATATAACATACCTTGATCATATCTACCCTTCCTTCCCTTCTCTACCCTTCCCTATCTCTTTCCTTCTAACAGTCTCCCTTGTATTTAATAATTCTATAACTATTACTAATTATAAGTAAGCTGTTCTCTTAATTAGAAGGACTACCAGAATCAAGAATAGAAGTGAGGGAAGGAAATAAGTACCTACCACTTGCTGCTAGAAACTGTAACCTCTCTTTACTCAAATGGCAGTCACATAACTTGCCAAAGGTCACGTGGCTGCAGGAATATAGCAAAATCAGGACTAGAGCTCTGATCATGGAATGGAAATTCATGTTCTTCTGACT